CAGGAATCTGACTCTCCAGGAAGTGTCAAATGGCAGAGACTGACAGAGGCTGGAATGCTGGAGGGGAAGGGGGGGCAGTAAGAGACACGAGCTGCCTGAGAATATTGTGACTCTACTATAAAAGGGAACTTTCATCCTAATTTCTTTTCATCTCTTTTCAATTTTCATCACCTCACTGGGTTGCTTGAAAGCATAAAAACATAAGAATGTATGGCCAAAATAAATGATAGAATAACAAAACCAACATTTGATGCTATATTTATCTTCAGTTCAAATATTCCCCCGCAGTACTTTTTTTTCAGCTTTACGCCCCCAGTCTGATGGCCAGCATCATTTAACCCACTTCCTCTGAGCCCAGGTCATCCCGGTCCCATCCCCAAGCCTGTGAATGGACAGTAAAAAAATAAATAGTGCAGCGATCAGCTCATCTCGCTGTCATTTTGCTTTCGCTTCCTATCAACAGACTTGTTTTCAGCACATAAACTGGCTCAATGTGCAGCTTCCTCCTCTCCCACTCCTGCACTGCAGTACAGGGACAGTAAGGCTGATACTGGGTCCAGGCCAGAATCATTTATTCTACTTCCTTTGAGCCCAGGCCATCCTGGATTTACCCCCATCCTTTGACTGGACAGTGAAAGAAGAAGCAGCACAGTGATAAACGCATCTCTTTGCCACTCTGCTTTGTCTTCTATCAGCATGCTACTTGTCAGCAAATGAACTGATTAGATCCCAGTGCTGCTTCTCCCTCTCACACTCCTGCCCTGCTGTACAGGGACTGTAAGGCTGATACTGAGTCCAGGCCAGAGTCATTCAATCCACTTCTTTTGAGCCCAGGTCATCCTGCGCTCACCCCCATCATGTGACTGGACAGTGAAAGAAGAAGCAGCACAGTGATAAGCTCATCTCTCTGTCGCTCTGATTTGTCTTCTATCAGCATGCTACTTGTCAGCATAGGAACTGATTAGATCCCTGTGCTGCTTCTCCCTCTCACACTCCTGCCCTGCTGTACAGGGACTGTAAGGCTGATACTGGGTCCAGGCCAGAGTCATTCAATCCACTTCTTTTGAGCCCAGGTCATCCTGCGCTCACCCCCATCATGTGACTGGACAGTGAAAGAAGAAGCAGTACAGAGATAAGCTCATCTCTCTGTCGCTCTGCTTTGTCTTCTATCAGCATGCTACTTGTCAGCATATTAACTGATTAGATCCTTGTGCTGCTTTTCCCTCTCACACTTCTGCCCTGCTGTACAGGGACTGTAAGGCTGATACTGGGTCCAGGCCAGAATCCTTTATTATTACTAACATTATACAGGATTTATATAGCGCCAACAGTTTATGCAGCGCTTTACAACATGAGGGCAGATAGTACAGACACTACACAATTCAATAAAGGAGAAATATGAGTGCCCTACTTGTTAGAGCTTACATTCTAGGATCTACTTCCTTTGAGCCCAGGTCATCCTGCACTCTCCCCCCCATCTCGTGACTGGACAGTGAAAGAAGAAGCAGGGCAGTGATAAGCTCATCTCTCTGTTGCTCAATTTTGTCTTTCTATCAGCATGCTACTTGCCAGTAAATGAACTGATTAGATCCTTGTGCAGCTTCTTCCTCTCCCACTCCTGCCCTGCTGTATAGGGACTGTAAGGCTGATACTGGGTCCAGACCAGAATAATTGATTCCACTTCCTCTGAGCCCAGATCATCCTGCGCTCACCCCCATCGTGTGACTAATACTGGGTCCAGGCCAGAATCCTTTATTATTACTAATATTATACAGGATTTATATATTGCCAACAGTTTATGCAGCGCTTTACAACACGAGGGCAGACAGTACAGACACTACACAATTGAATACAGGAGAAATATGAGTGCCTTACTTGTTAGAGCTTACATTCTAGCCACTTCCTTTGAGCCCAGGTCATCCTGCACTCGCCCCCATCCTGTGACTGGACAGTGAAAGAAGAAGCAGCGCAGTCATACTGTAAGCAGGGGCGGACTGACAACTCATGGGGCCCCCAGGCAATAGGAGATCATGGGGCCCCTGTGTCCTTGACCACACTCAAAGCACACCCAAAAAAGCCTATAAAAGGTACCAGGGGCATTTCATGGGGTCCCCTACTGACCCTGGGCCCTTGGGCAGTGCCCGAGTGCTTTAATGGTCAGTCCGCCCCTGACTGTAAGTTCATCTTTCTGTCACTCTCTCCTCCTATGCTTCTTGTCAGCACATGAACTGATTGGCTCCTTGTGTTGCTTCTTCTTCTCACACTCCAGCTCTGCTGCACAGGAACTGCTAAAGGCTGATCTCAGGTCACATTCAGGTAACTACACTGCTTCTATTTAAAATATACATTTAATAATGTAAGAATGATTACAGATGGAATTCATTTGTGTCTTTTACATCAGCTTAGTAATTTTGTTATGTCCCAGTGTGTATGATCCTAAATTACTATATAAAAATATGAATGCAGCTCTGTAACCATTAATGCATCATAAAATGTATGTTTTTTTTTTAAATATAAGCAGTGTACATACCAGAGTTTGTCCTGATATAAACCTCTAGCAGTCCCTGTAGAGCAGATGCAGAGTGTGAGTGGAAGACGCAGTAAAGGGAGGCAATCATTTCATGTGCTGACAAGTAGCATGCTGATAGGAGGAGAGAGCAGAGTGACACAGAGATGAGTTTGTCATTGTGCTGCTTCTCCTTTCACTGTGCAGTCACAGGTTGGAGCCAGGGGCGGACTGACCATTTAGGAACTCGGGCACTGCCTGAGGGCCCGGGGTCAGTAGGGGGCCCCATGAGATGCCTCTGGTACCTTTCATATCCTTTTTTTGGGTGTGGTTTGAGTGTGGGCGTGGACACAGGAGCCCCATGATCCCCTATTGCCCGGGGGCCCCATGAGTTGTCAGTCCGCCCCTGTTTGGGGCAGGTCCATTGTGAACATGGGTAATTGATGCTGGTCATCACACTGAGGACATCTAGTGGCAGAGAAAAAGTACTGCGGGGTAAATCTCTTGATTGAAGGTGATTATGGCAATCATTTTATGTGCTGACAAGTGGCATGTTGATAGGAGGAGAGAGCAGAGTGACAGAGAGATGCGTTTGTCCCTGTGCTGCTTCTCCTTTCACTGTCTAGTCACAGGTTGGGTCAGGTCCATTGTGAACATGGGTATTTGGTGCTGGTCATCACACTGAGGACATCTAGTGGCACAGAAGAAGTACTGCAGGGTAAATCTCTTGATTGTAGGTGAATATGGCAGCGAAAGCTTGTTGGGTTTTTTTTTTTGTTTACCTTTTAGCATGCTGTTCATTTCTTTTTTCTTACTATTTTTGGCTGCAGTTCTGCTTTAAGATAATGGTTTAACCTCATGGTTTCCAAATCTCTGCAGCCGCCCAGAAACAAAGAATACAACAATTGTGGAATCAGCAGATCTCTCCCTGCCAGCAGATCATGGTGATAAGTGCAGCACACAATAACTCCAGTGATCTCTGGCGCTGTTGGTTTTGGAGACATATTAGGAAAATGAGGATGTTATATGTGAAAGGGGGAGGAGATGGAATAAAAACCAGGGATAGAGAGAGAGGAAAAAAGATGGAATAAACATACAAGAACAAAACAACACATAAATGAGCAGGAAGAAGACACGCTTGTCATTCATTTATGCTGTAAATCTAGTCATTGTCCAGTCTGAGGATGATCTACAGGATCTCTCACTTTTGAAACATGCAACGGTTATATTTAAAAAATGAATGCACTGTTAAAGCTGAACTGCGGACACAAAAACTTATATTTAAATATATTCCTCAATAGCCACAAACTATATAAATACTCTTTGTGAGCACCAAACGGCTTTGCAAACCCAGACATTACCTTGTAAAAGTAGCAGCGACATCATCAATTACTTGTACATAGCCTGTGCAGAGGGCAGGGCTGTGGGAGGGGCTCTGCAGGTCCCATCCACTACAGAAAACTACACGAAGAGACAAGACCAGTCACCCTGCACAAGGAGAAGGAGAAGCAGTAACTGGTCTTTATTATAGGAAGTAAAGCCTCGCACTGGAATACAGATCTGGAAGAAATACACAAAGCACACTGAGATTCAAGGAGGAATTAGACCAGGGGTGCTCAACCTGTGGCCGGTGGGCCGACATGCAGAGGCTTCCCTAGGGTTGGTGTGACCCAGTGCGATAACACTTGGTGACACCCCCTCCGACGATCCCCGCAGGATGGATCGGATCTGTGGATTGAGCATAATGGATCGGAGTCTGATCCATTATTCTCCCCAATCCGCACATCCGATCCATCCTGCGGGGATTGTTGGCTTGCTTTACAACTTACCTTTTACTACAATTTTGGCCATATTCATTGTATTTCAAAATATATTTCAATAAAAAAAAAATATATATATATATATATATTTATTACACACACATATATATACTGTATGCTGAAATGCGTTTCTATTACAAAATATATTTCAAAATATATATATTTTTTAAATATATTCTTCAGATTTTTTAACATAAAAAAGTCGTTTTAACATATATATTTTTACATAAAATTGTAAATACATTCCAAAAATGTAGATTTGTATTTTGAAAGACATACAGTATATTTGAAATGTATTTTTAAAAATATTTTGTCATAAAAACGCATTTTTGGAATGTATTTACAATTTTATGTAAAAATATATGTTAAAACAACTTTTTATATGTTAAAATAAATCTGAAGAATACACCATAAGACGCACTTTTTTCCCCTCAAAAAAGGGGGGAAAATGTCAGTGCGTCTTATGGAGCAAATGTAAAGCGGCCGGTCCGGTATTTCTGCCACCACCATGTCAGGATATCGGGCCGGCCGCTCAGCTCTTCTCTCCTGCAGGACCTTACCTGTTTCGTCGCTCCAGCGCTGCAGTCTTCCCGCGGCGGCTTCTGTGACAGCCGGGTGCCCACTGCGCATGCGCGAGAAGCGTCGCGCTTTGTGAATGGTCTGACATGACAGGTCCCAGAAGGCTCCGGGCCATTCACAAAGCGCGGCGCTTCTCGCGCTGCGCATTGGGCACCCGGCTGTCACAGAAGCCGCCGCGGGAAGAAGAAGGGAGGACAACTCCGTGGAAGTGGGAGCGGGTACCTGTCAAATTCAGAACCCGTTCCCCCTCCCTCCCCAAAGGTCCGCAGTCTCTGGTAATCTCCTTTACTGTCTGCAGTCTCTGGTCATCTCCTGTACTATGTCCGCAGTCTCTGGTCATCTCCTGTACTGTGTCCGCAGTCTCTGGTCATCTCCTGTACTATGTCCGCAGTCTCTGGTCATTTCCTGTACTGTGTCCGCAGTCTCTGGTCATCTCCTGTACTGTGTCCGCAGTCTCTGGTCATCTCCTGCACTGTGTCCGCAGTCTCTGGTCATCTCCTGTACTGTGTCCACAGTCTCTGGTCATCCCCTGTACTGTGTCCGCAGTCTCCGGTCATCCCCTGCACTGTGTCTGCCCGCAGTCTCTGGTCATCTTCTGTACTGTGTCCACAGTCTCTGGTCATCTCCTGTACTGTGTCCGCAGTCTCTGGTCATCTCCTGTACTATGTCCGCAGTCTCTTGCCATCTCCTGTACTGTGTCCGCAGTCTCTGGTCATCCCCTGCACTGTGTCTGTCCGCAGTCTCTGGTCATCTCCTGTACTGTGTCTGCAGTCTCTGGTCATCTCTTGTACTGTGTCTGTCCGCAGTCTCTGGTCATCTCCCGTACTGTGTCCGCAGTCTCCGGTCATCTCCTGTACTGTGTCCGCAGTCTCCGGTCAACCCCTGCACTGTGTCTGTCCGCAGTCTCTGGTCATCTCTTGTACTATGTCCGCAGTCTCCGGTCATCTCCTGCACTGTGTCCGCAGTCTCTGGTCATCTCCTGTACTGTGTCCGCAGTCTCTGGTCATCTCCTGTACTGTGTCCGCAGTCTCTGGTCATCCCCTGTACTGTGTCCGCAGTCTCTGGTCATCTCCTGTACTGTCCGCAGTCTCTGGTCATCTCCTGTACTGTGTCTGCAGTCTCTGGTCATCTCCCGTACTGTGTCTGCAGTCTCTGGTCATCTCCTGTACTGTGTCCGCAGTCTCTGGTCATCCCCTGCACTGTGTCCGCAGTCTCTGGTCATCCCCTGTACTGTGTCCGCAGTCTCTGGTCATCTCCTGTACTGTCCGCAGTCTCTGGTCATCTCCTGTACTGTGTCTGCAGTCTCTGGTCATCTCCCGTACTGTGTCTGCAGTCTCTGGTCATCTCCTGTACTATGTCTGCAGTCCATTGGTTCAGAATATTTTTTTTCTTGTTTTTCTCCTCTAAAACCTAGGTGAGTCTTATGGAGCGAAAAATACAGTATTTAAAAAAATATATATATTTTTTAAAATATTTTGTAATATATAAAAAATGCATTCCAACATGCAGTATATATACAGTCATGGCCGAAATTGTTGGCACCCTTGATATTTTTCCTGAAAATCAAGTATTTCACACAAAAAAGGTATTGCATTAACACATGTTTTGCTATACACATGTTTATTCCCTTTGTATGTATTGGAACAAATATAAAACAGAGGCAGAAAAGCAAATATGACATAATGTCACACAAAACCCCCAAAAATGGGCTGGACAAAAGTATTGGCACCCTTAACTTAATATTTGGTTGCACACCCTTTGGAAAACATAACTGAAATCAGTCGCTTCCTATAACCATCAATAAGCTTCTGACACCTCTCACCCGGAATTTTGGACCACTCTTCCTTTGCAAACAGCTCCAGGTCTCTCTTATTGGAAGGACACACCTTTTCCCAACAGCAATTTTAAGATCTCTCCACAGGTGTTCAATGGGATTTAGATCTGGGCTCATTGCTGGCCACTTCAGAACTCTCCAGCGCTTCTTTGCCATCCATTTCTGAGTGCTTTTTGACGTATGTTTGGGGTCATTGTCCTGCTGGAAGACCCAGGATCTTGGACGCAAACCCAGCTTTCTGACACTGGGCCCTACAGTGCGACCCAAAATCCTTTGGTAATCCTCAGATTTCATGATGCCTTGCACACAGTCAAGGCACCCAGTGCCAGAGCAGCAAAACAACCCCAAAACATCATTGAACCTCCACCATATTTTACCGTAGGTACTGTGTTTTGTTCTTTGTAGGCCTCATTCCGTTTTCGGTAAACAGTAGAATGATGTGCTTTACCGAAAAGCTCTATCTTGGTCTCATCTGTCCACAAGACGTTTTCCCAGAAGGCTTTTGGCTTACTCAAGTACATTTTGGCAAACTGTAGTCTTGCTTTTTTATGTCTCTGTGTCAGCAGTGGGGTCCTCCTGGGTCTCCTGCCATAGCGTTTCATTTCATTTAAATGTCGACGGATAGTTCGCGCTGACACTGATGCTCCCTGAGCCTGCAGGACAGCTTGAATGTCTTTGGAACATGTTTGGGGCTGCTTATCCACCATCCGGACTATTCTGCGTTGCAATCTTTCATCAATTTTCCTCATCCGTCCACGACCAGGGAGATTAGCTACAGTGCCATGGGTTGCAAACTTCTTGATAATGTTGCGCACTGTGGACAAAGGCAAATCTAGTTCTCTGGAGATGGACTTGTAACCTTGAGATTGTTGATATTTTGCCACAATTTTTGGTTCTCAGGTCCTCAGACAGTTCTCGTCTCCTCTTTCTGTTGTCCATGCTTAGTGTGGCACAGACAGACACACAATGCAAAGGTTAAGTGAACGTCTCTCCTTTTTATCTGCTTTCAGGTGTGATTTCTATATTGCCCACACCTGTTACTTGCCCCAGGTGAGTTTACAGGAGCATCACATGCTTGTAACATTCTTATTTATCCGCAGTTGTGAAAGGGTGCCAATACTTTTGTCCAGCCCATTTTTGGAGGTTTGTGTGACATTATGTCGAATTTGCTTTCTTTCCTCCCTTTTTTTGTTTTTGTCCCAATACACACAAAGGGAATAAACATGTGTATAGCAAAACATGTGTTAATGCAATACGTTTCGTGAGAAATACATGATTTCCTGGAGAAATATCAAGGGTGCCAACAATTTCGGCCATGACTGTATATATATAGTGAGAAGTAGAATCAAGTGGTAGAGTTTTTCCAGCACACAGCCACTCGCTTTATTCTTTATTAAAGGCCTTTTAGCCCAATTTTATTTAAAAGAAAGTTCCACAACATGCTTCCCACGCACCATCAAACAAATGAAACAAATAATCAGCCTGCTGGCTTGTACACAGATTTCTGCGGCTCTGGCCTTCCACTTTAGGCTCACAGTTGTCTCCTACAGACTCCTTCCAAAATGGCTTTTAGCACACAGCTTGCAGCCTCTTGCTGCTTGGCTTCCACCTCTCTTAGGTGGCGCCCTCCTGACTCCTAGACAATGACCTCCTGTCTGCTGGTGTGGGGCCCAGAACCCCAGTCCTGACTCTAGAAGAGAGCCATGCACACACCTGTACAATGAGTGTGTTGGGGGTTCATAAAACACGGACCCAGGACTAAAGATTTCATCCCTCCCAGATCACTTAGAAATCTCCAGATCCAAAAACGGACTTTGCGAATAAATGAGGAAACTGAAAATCCAGTTTCCTCTGCATTAACCCCTTCAAGCTGAGGCCTCCCAGGCCCTTTAAGGGTTCCAGAAGTCGGGAGGCGGGGGCGGGGTTTTGGGGTCATGTGACCATCACATGATCGGGAAAGGTCCCGATCGAAAGAGGAGATCGAGACCTTTCCGTTAGTACTGGACATGTGTGTTGGGAGGGCGCAGGGCGCTCGCTCTCGGCACATATGTCCTTTTTTAATAGAATGCAAATGTGCAGCCGCTCGGCGTCTAGGCCCAGATGCCGGGAGGCCACACATTTGTGTGCGGCTGACTTAAAGAGGTTAAATAAACCCTCTGGAGCAGCTCAACTCATGGGGCCCCGGGCAACAGGGGATCATGGGGCCCCGTGTCCTTGCCCAAACTCAAAAAAGCCTATGAAAAAGGTACCAGGGCATCTCACGGGGCCCCCTACTGACCCTGGGCCCTCGGGCAGTGCCCGAGTTTCCAAATGGTCAGTCCGGCCCTGCTCTGGAGCCCATCAACCTGTATGGTTGAGAATCCAGGGTTATAAGCTTGATTTAGACCGTGGCAGGATACCACATTGCCACTATATATTTATTTATTTATTGAAATATATTTTGAAATATATTGAATACGGCCAAAATTGTAGTATTTCAAATATACGTCAATATATTTGGGAAAGAATATTTTTAAAATATATTTCAAATATATTTTTCTTCCATGTGAGTGACCACAACTAATGCGCACTGCTCATTCCAAACAGGAAGTCAGATGGGAAAATGAGAGGTTTGGGAGCTCGCATAGGATGTTACAAGGTGGCAGGAAAAGAAAAAAAAAACACAGTAACAAATGATTTCATGATTTGTTTGAAAATTAGATTACATGACTATAAGTAGTGGGTGTGTCTGGATTAGTTTTGAAGAACAGGAATTTCATTTAGCCTAGGTTCACATATATGCGGTGTAAAATCACTCAGTTTTGTAGTGCGATGTTTGAATAGCAATGCGTTTTTAGGCTCCATGCATGTTTTTGAAATATATTTCAAATATATTTTTCTGGGTGGGCTCACGGGAAATGGGCAGAATAAGATGAGTATTGTCCAGCTTGAAGAGGACCCCTGGTGCTAGAAGTCAGGGACGGGGCTGGAGCACTGAGAGGGCAAGTAGAAAAATTAAAAACATTTGTGGACAGACAAGTAAATGCTCATTTCTGATCTTTAAATTCCCCAGGATCCCAATACTGATCCGATCATCCAAAACAATATTAATAAATAGGGTCATTTTATTTCACATTTAGCTGTTGTGACCTTCTACCTTTTGGATGAAAAAGCCATCCTGGAGCCCCAGTCCAGTGACTTTGTCTAGGCTGAGGTGATGTCATCAATCTGCCGCAGGCAGGAGGAAGCATTTCCACAGTCTCTCCCCCCTCCATTGATCAGACTGTACATTTTTTTTAAATTATTTCAGGTACTTCTATAGCGCTGTCAATTTACGCAGCACTTTACATATATATTGTACATTCACATCAGTCCCTAACCCTCAAGGGGCGTACAATCTAAGGTCCCTAACCCTCAAGGGGCATACAATCTAAGGTCCCTAACCCTCAAGGGGCGTACAATCTAAGGTCCCTAACCTTCAAGGGGCGTACAATCTAAGGTCCCTGACCTTCAAGGGGCGTACAATCTAAGGTCCCTGACCTTCAAGGGGCGTACAATCTAAGGTCCCTGACCCTCAAGGGGCGTACAATCTAAGGTCACTAACCCTCAAGGGGCGTACAATCTAAGGTCACTAACCTTCAAGGGGCGTACAATCTAAGGTCCCTGACCCTCAAGGGGCGTACAATCTAAGGTCCCTGACCCTCAAGGGGCGTACAATCTAAGGTCACTAACCTTCAAGGGGCGTACAATCTAAGGTCCCTGACCCTCAAGGGGCGTACAATCTAAGGTCCCTGACCCTCAAGGGGCGTACAATCTAAGGTCGCTAACCCTCAAGGGGCGTACAATCTAAGGTCCCTGACCCTCAAGGGGCGTACAATCTAAGGTCCCTAACCCTCAAGGGGCGTACAATCTAAGGTCCCTAACCCTCAAGGGGTGTACAATCTAAGGTCCCTAACCCTCAAGGGGCGTACAATCTAAGGTCCATAACCTTCAAGGGGCTTACAATCTAAGGTCCCTAACCCTCAAGGGGTGTACAATCTAAGGTCCCTAACTCACATTCATACATACACATACTAGGGACAATCTAGACAGGATCCAATTAACCTACCAGCATGTCTTTGGAGTGTGGGAGGAAACCCACGCAGGCACAGGGAGAACATGCAAACTCCAGGCAGGTGGTGCCGTGGCTGGGATTTGAACCAATGACCCCAGTACTGCCAGGCGGAAGTGCTAACCATTTAGGCACTGTACATTGGACCCAGCAGGTAAAGGGTTAATCTGAAACTCCGGTTGGTGACTTTGCCCAAGCTGAGATGGTACCATCAGTCCACTGCAGGCAGAAGTAAGAACCACCTGGAAGGGTTACACTGACCGTCCACTTCGAATATTCTAGAATTCGTTGTCGCTCTGCTCAGAAGAGGAAGGTGAAAGGGGAACTGATTTATTTTTATCTCACTTGTTCAGTGGTTGTGTTTATCTTGTGTCATATGTAGGTTGCTATCTGCATGCTCTAAAAAAATGGGTTCTTTGTGTTCTAGGCTTACATGTGGACTTTCAGTGCTGAAATGCTCTTTGTTAAAAAAAAAA